AATTTCCTTCGTGATTTATTCTTCGACCCATTGGTTCAAGAGCTAACTTGCTAGTTTTGGGGAGAAAAAGTTTCTATCTAAATGAGTTTGAAGACCAGGTGCAAAGCAGGGCAGGGCTCTCCTCATGCACAGCGTGGACGTGGAAGGCCCAGGCTGTGGGATGCTCACCATCTGGAGAAGGGTTCTCAGAACCAGCTATGGTTCTGTCATGAGATTTGATGAGCATCTTGATCACTAGCTCCACTTGAGGCTTTGTGTGTATTTGTGACTCTGTTCAGACAGAGGTTTGGTTTGTGGTGCAGTGACCATCCCCAGGGCACAACACAGTTGTGTCTGTACCTACTTTTGTTCTTGTGCTCAGAGAGGACCAGACACAGGCAGAGAGACAGTCTGGAGAGAGGCTCACCAAACAGCTCACAGGCTTCAGAGGTTTTTAATGCCAAGTGCTAAGGTGTCCATCTGGTCTCCTCATCAACTCCTCTATGTACCCCTTCCTTGGAAACCACTGCTCTCCCTCATTCAAAGGAAGGAGTAAGAGAGTGAATAATGTACCATGGACTTTATATGCATCATCCCCGTGAAGCCTCACTAAGTATCACTGTCCCCATTTTATAGTTGAAAGAACTGAGGCCCACAAAGTTTAAGTAACTTGCTCAATCAATGCTGAATAAGTAGACAGTGAGTAAAAGGAAGAGATTGGACCTCAAAATGGGTCTTTCTGGATCTAACACTCAGATTCTTCCCATTGTGGCTCCCCCTCCCATTCCTTTAACAAATATGTACTATGTGCTTGCTCTGTGCTAGGAGCTCAGGGAGCTACAAAGAAAAACAAAATATGGCTCTTGGCATCCAAGGAAACCATTGGTAGCAGAGGAGATAGATGACAAACCTGTAATTACAACAGATTTTAAAAAGTGCTACAGAGGTGTAAATACTATGGGAGCACAGAGAAGTAGGGAGTCAGGGGTACAAGCAGAGAGACAGCTCACATTTAGGGCCGACTTCTCCAGGAAAAAAGGAGGAAGACAGAGGACATTTGGGAATTTTTTTAAATAAATGCCAGATGGTAAATATTCTAGGCTCGGCAGGCCAGGCAGTCTCTGTTGCAACTACTCAGCTCTGCCACTGTAGCACAAAAGCAGGCCCAGACAAAGCATCAGTGAATGAGCAGGGCTGTGTTCCAATAAAGCTAAATTTACAAAAACAAGAGGCAGCTGGATTTCACCCTGGCACCAGAGTTTGCAGACCCCTGCAAGATCAAAGGAGGTGACAAAAGCTGCAGGCAATCAGATTTTTGTTCTAGAGAGATCACTCTGTAGGCTGGGCCAGGAAGTGAAGCAAGGAAAGGTGCGGTGACTTTTATAATCCCTTCCATTGGAATAGAGCTTTACAACTTCACAAAAGGTACCTCCACTGGTTCTCACAGCAACCTTGCAGGGAGAGGGCATGAGTATTACTAGTCAATGATCTCACTTAAAAAATGAGAAAACCAGAGACTCAGTACAGGTCAGGCAAGTACCCTTGGATAACGCAAGCTAATGCCCCTGCTCAGACTCAAATAAGGCCTTTTGACTGAACTTCATTTCCTTTGCTTTCTGAATGTTTGTTCTATGGTCAAAGAAGTAATAGTAATAGTTAGAAGAAGCAGCGCCAGCATCAGCAGCTAACATTTATTGAACTCTTACCTCATGCCAGGCCCTATTCCAAGTGTTTTGTAAATTTAACTCACTTATTTCTCACAGGATCCCTAGAGGTAGGTATTATTATTATCCCCATTTAACTGGCACAAGAGAGATCAAATAACCAGCTCAAGATGACACAGAATGAGAACCCAGATCCAGTCATTCTGGTTCAAGAAGCCAAGTACCTGATAAAGACTCTCTCTTGACTCAAACTTTAGTCAGGCTCCTCTGAGCCCTCTTCTCAACTAGACCTTGACCTTGGCCCCATCCCCATTCCTTTTTGAGTCCAATCATTACAAAAATCCTGCTAAGTCAGTTTAGAGAGAATCCCCCACTCTTGATCTCCAATCTACCTTGATATCTGGTCAAATTCCTCATTCCCCACCCTTGGTATCTCACCACCCTGGCCTGTCTTCTGCAAGAATCCTGTTAAGTCGGTTTAGCAAGAATGCCGCTACCCTTAATGTCATCTCTTAGTACTCTTCCATCCACTGGCCTCCTCAATCTGCAAGGCCCCAGCTGTCTCTGCTGTGTTCCGAGTTGAGCCTCATCTCACTTCCTATTGTGATAGTCTTGACACCTATCACGATGGCCCTGAGTAAAGTCTTCCTTACCATTTTAACAAGTGTCAGAATGAATCTTTCTTTAACATCCCTCACCACTGGGGTATGCCATCTCCTCAGGTCAGAGGTCAGAGGGCTGCAGGTATGGGAATCAGAGGTGTGAGGAAGGAAAACAGGAGTTAGCATGGAATGAGATAAGCTGGGTGATGGAACATTTCATCCTTCCCAGACTCCTCTGCCCTTTCATGCCTTTGCACAAGCCATCACTAAAATGGCCCTGTCAATGCAAATAATTCATAACCAACATATAAATCAGAATTGGGGTGAGTTTATTATGATCCAGAGTGAGGATTATAACCCGGGAAGGCCTTAGAAGGCATTTTGGAGAAGCATGGGTTTCAGTACAGTCTTATATCTTTTTAGAATAAAGAACATACGTTAAACACACCCAGGATACATTTTCATCAAAATTTCAAACAGATATTCAGTTGCAAATTAGCAGGTCAACATGACCATGATGTCAGGAAAGGGACTAATCTGGGCATTACTAATAGGGCAGAGGAGGGGAATCTGCATTCCAATCTTAAGAGAGTGCACTCTTTACTTTAATGGTTGAGCAGATGTACAATGTATGTTTGATAGGCCGCAAGTCAGGCTTTTTAGTTCTAGTCAAACCAGTTTTGAACCTGAATATTTACCCCATATACCTCATTATGTGAAAATCTCTTGTCAGCCCCACCACTATCCTCTCCCCAAACTCCTACGCACCCTACATCACTCTACTCAGCTGTCACCAAGGTAAAGGCGACCTCCTCTTCCCTAGAGAGAGTTTAGAACTCCTTTCTCTGAGCAGCAGACTTCTCTGCTGATGCCTGTCTTAGCGGACTGCATCACCACCATTTACAAGTCTGTCTCCCTTAATAGACTGTGTACTCTTTCAAGTGTGCGCCATGCCACCTTCAACCCTAAATTCAAGACTTTTAAAACACTGCCTCATTCTCAGTGGCTTATAACAATAGAAATTTATTGTGAATTCCAAACACTAGTTCCGGATCTGCAGAAAGGCTTCCATGTGGTCATTTAAAAACCCAGGCTCCTTTCTTATTGTGGCTCCATCTTCCACTAGGACCTTGAGGTTCTCTGCGTTTAGCTGGAAGATAAGGAAAGAGGATGAAGGATTGCATGTGGAAGCTGGAAGCAGCACTCTTCACTTCAGCTCACATTCTATTGGCCAGAAGTTGGTCACATGGCCACAACCTAGCTGCAAAGGAGGTGGGGAAATGTAGTCAAACTGTGTGTCCCGGAAAAAAGGAAGTGGGCCACAGCCAAACCACCTGGGTTTAAATTATAGTTCTATCACTTACTGGTTGTGTGACCTTGGACAAATTACTTAACCTTTTACAGCTACAGTTTCCTCATCTGTGTAAATAAGAATAATATCCATTTCATGGGGTTGATATAGGGAATAAATGAGCTAATATATGGAAAGTACTTAGAAGAGTGCCCAGCATCTAGTAAATGCCATATAAAGGTTAACTGTTATCATTGTTAATATCCTCTCATCAGAATTCTTCCACACCTTCCCCTCTGACCCAGAGTAAAAGCTGAAGTCTTTACAATGGCCTCAGAAACCCTACGCGATCTGCCCCCAGTTACCTCCTGCCTCCTCATCACTCAAGTCACCCTGACCTCTTTGCTCTTGCTTGAAAGTACCGGGCAGCTCCCACCCCAGGGCCTTTGAGTTGCAGTTGCTCTGCCCAGAAGGCTCTTCCCCAGGTTTCTGCATGGCTCACTCCATAACTCCCTCAGACGTCTGCTCAAATGTCACCTGCCCTGACGAACAGAGACTGCAAGCAGCCCCTCTCCAGTACCTCCCATTCCCCTTCTCTATTTTATTTTTCTCCACATCTTCTATTACCACCTGATACGCCGCGTATTTAACCTGGTGTTCATATTCATCTGTCTTGCCCACTGGGCTTCAAGCTCCAAGAGGGTAGGACTCTTTGCCTCTCATTCTCTTCCATGTGCCCAGCTCCTACGACAGCGTGTGGCACAGAGTAGGCACTCAATAACTATTTATTCAACGTATCAATACGTTTGCAAATGAATGAATGGCGATTCTCCACTGACACTCTAACATCTTTGGCCTTGTTAAATGCTTCTCACCATTGTGGTGACTCTGATTTCTGTCCTGTCAGACATAAAATTCATCTAAGTCAGTGCAACGCACAGACCCTCTGTTGGAGACAGATAGCAACATAGGAGACTCCTTTGGTTTCATACGGAGAGCTGTTTGACAAGGAACTGAAGATTCTGGAATTGGGATGGTCCCAGAGAGTCCAGAAAACATGGTTTTGTGTTCTTAGACTGTAATCTGCAGAAGAGCAGCAAGAATAAAGTCCGGCTGCATCTGTACAACCAAGGGGCCAGTCCCATGATCCACTCAGTGTGTTGCATGTCCTGAGTCTGGCGACATCCAGTGACGATGGTTAAAGTTCATACAGTGTGTCAAAGTAAATGCTAATTAACAACCAGATCTGCAAATCACTGAAGATACTTGTTTTCTCTTTTCGCTTTAATGAGAAGTGAATTTCTTCTAGGGTTACTGTTAACTTCCGTAGTTGTGTCTTGTGAGCACTTTCCTGTCAACTTTTTCTATGATTGTATCAATTTAGGGGAAGAACGCAGTGTAGAAGACAGTTTTCTTTTTTTAAAGATTTTATTTTTTTCCTTTTTTCTCCCCAAACCTCCCCAGTACATAGTTGTATATTCTTCGTTGTGGGTCCTTCTAGTTGTGGCATGTGGGACGCTGCCTCAGTGTGGTTCGATGAGCAGCGCCACGCCCGCGCCCAGGACCGGAACCAATGAAACACCGGGCCGCCTGCAGCGGAGCGCGCGAACTTAACCACTCGGCCACCGGGCCAGCCCCTAGAAGACAGTTTTTTCAGATCTGCGTTGTCAAACAGCACTTTTTTTCTCACAAAGGTGAGAAGTCCTTCCCTGGCTTAAGATAGCACTGAAATGAAGTGTCGAAGAGTTACTTCTCCAAACAGACACTAATTCTAATTTTTGCTCCACACTCAGTGTATGCAAACAAACATGTTAGAATGTGTATTTCACAGGCTGTGAAAACTGAAACCGGTTTCAGCTGGTCTGGGTGGGGATCAGACTTTCTACCCACAATTGAATTGAACCCACCACAGAATCCTCCCACAGAAGAAAACAAGCTTGGATGTGTCTGGCTGAAGCCAACAGCACTTAAGGGCCGCGTCCTAAAACTTTGTTTTTGGAAGAAAAATTCTTGTCTGGGAGGCTCCCAACCTCCACCCCCACCCTTAGGCAGGCTTCCTGTGTTTTATTCTCCTAAAGCACACCTTTTTGCAATGCTTGGCCTTTAGAATTGTTTGAATCCTCTGTCTGCCCGCACTACAGGTCAGCTCGGGAAGAGACTGGCTGTCTTCGATCCCACGCACTGCAGTATCCCGGATGCCTGGCGCAGTAAGGGCTGCATAAACACGTGTATTGACGACCAACTGACTGATGCCTTTCTCGCTGTGATTAACGTACCGGGATGTCAGAAAGAGCTCCAAATTTCATTAGAGCGTCCGGGTCCCATCTTGGCTCTACCTCTTCTTGCTCTGTGACTCTGGAAAAGTCACCCAGCCTTTCCGAGCTTCTACTGCCTGATCTGCAAAATAAGGATGACAGTGTCCTCCTTTGGGGCATTTCTAAGGAGCACTTGTGATCATGGACTTAGTGCTTAGTAGATGTTCAAAGCACATCAGGCAAACTCAGTCAAGTGGTGACGATTTTAGCATCAATGCTATAAGAGCACTTTATGCTGGAAAAGAAGATGAGTAATTTAAAAATTGAGGATATGGCCATCTACATCTTTGCCTCCTGAAGTCAGTGTATCTGAGGTAAAATGGATATCTGTAGCATGTGGGAACTTGTGGAAGTGGCAGCAAATAAACTCATATTGATTATCTGTCTTATCTTGTCCAGACTTTTTGACTGCAAGCTCCCTGAGGTGAGGGATCCTGGATTATTCATCAAGAGTGCCAGCCTAAGGTCAGGGTGGGCCCTAGGCGTATTCAGTGCATATTTACCTGACCTAAATGAGCTCTGCATTTCCTCCAGCTGTTGAACCCGCCCAGTAAATTGCTTTACCTGTATCTAAATTCTGTCCATCCTTTAGTGTTTATGAGTCCACTCCTGAATTTTGCTTCCTCTTGGCATAGGATTATATCTAATCAATAAATCTCTGGACTAGCCAAATGACACCCTAATTTCTGTGGATTCTGACTTCTCAGGGATGTTTTAAAGACACCCGCAGAGGTGGGACTTTTAGGAAACGGGCCCAATAAGAAAAGTTATCGTCAGGGTGGTTGCAAGGTGGTAGGATTTGGAGGAAATAGGGAGTTGTTGTTTAATGGGTGTGAGTTTCAGTTTTGCAAGATGATAAAGTTCTGGAGATTGGTTGTACAAAACGTGAATATATTTAACACTACTGAACTGTGCACTTTAAAAGGAGTAAGACAGTAAATTTTGTTATGTGTATTTTACCACGATTTTTTAAAACGTAACCATTGGAAGTCTCCACTATACACTGAAGAAAGAGGGTAAAACCACCTTGGGGTAAAGATGTTGCATTTTACTTTATCACAGATTGTCTAGAAAGCCTGGGCATGTTCTTATCATCTCCAGGTTCTTTCAGGTCTAAACATTGATCTGTAGGATCAAATAGGAATGAAATATTGTCCAAATGTTTCCTATTGCCAAGTTGAAAAATGAGCTTAGAAAATGTGTCCACACTATAAAATAGTGTGTAAAAGTTATTAAATACACGGACCCAAATTAACTGTGACGTAATTACCATTTGCTTTTTGTGGTGAGAACGTTTAAGATCTACTCTCTTAGCAACTTTCAAGTTCACAACACAGTATTATTAACAACTCTTGGACAAAGGTTTAGTAATTAGGGACTTCTCTAGCAACGACTCCAGACCTGTGGGGAGGCTCTACACGCCTGGTTTCTGGCTCAGAGTTCCACAGCTCCATTCAAGTTATTGGGTGAATTCACCTGCCTTTTGTCTTCTTGCTTCCCAGGGCGAGGTTGCCTAGAGTTAAATGCCAAACAGAAATAAGAAGGGTTTTCAATATTTACATTTACCTTCTGTAGGAACCCAGAGACTATCTTCATCCAACAGCTCTGCCACTTGTCATATTTAAGCTATTATTTAACCAGGAAAAGGGGGTGGGGGGAGCACCTATGAGGTGATGGACGAGAAATAGTGTACAAGTGAAATTTCACAATGACATAAACTATTATGAACTCAATAAAAAACCCCACTATTGTTTAAACGGCAGCAACATTCTAATTACAGCAAAGTACAGTTAATCCAGGGCTTTTTCCCATTCCTTCTTAAAGCATTCAACATCGTTGACTTCACTTCCCTTTTGAAAAGCTCTCTACTGCTTTGTCTCCAGCTGTGGTTTTCTGTTTTTCTTCCTCCTTCCCTGAGTCTTTCCTTCCCGCTGCCTTTGCTCCCCTGCTTTTCTCCTCTGTTCTTCACTCAAGGAATATTTCTGGAGGGGCTGCAATGTGCCAGGCACTGTGCTCCCAACGGGAGCAAAACAGATGTGGAGCCCGCTCCCCTAGGGTGTCCCTAAGAGTGAAGAGACAGGTGTGGATCAAAGCATCACAGTAACAAGTGTGGACTTGCAATGACAGCCCATGATGGAGGCATGGGGCCATGGAGAGTTCAGGGAAGATCACCGGGGCTGAGACCTGAAGGATGAGTAAGAGCCTGTGGGCGAGGTGGACGAGGTGAAGACGCAAGGTCATAACCCCAATGTTGTCTCAGGCAGCTCCATGTTCACTAACATGCTTGATTTTCTCAGTGCTTGTTGCTTAAAACCATTTCCACCTACATCATATTATGCCGATACTCTGTTGTGGGGGAGGACAAAGCATTATTAGCCCTTCATGTAATTGAGGACACAGGTTCAGACCCATTAAATGGTGTACTCAGAGTCACGTGGTCAGTAAGTAGCACCGCTGGACTGACCCCTGGTCTCCAACCCTAAGTCCTGGGAGTCCCTTCCCTATACCGCTTACAAGACCTCACCAGAAAGCTCGCAGACGCAGCTCACTGGGCCCACCTTCTCCTCAGATGCAGGTTTCACATTAGCTGCCAGATATTTCCACAGGGGCATCCCAACACCGTCACCAAAACGAAATAGCAAAAACTGTTAGTCTTCTACAAAAATCAGTTTTGCTTTTAAAGTTTCTTAGATTCGTTCTACTGATATTGTTCTGCCAAAATCTTGGATTCATTCTCCTCTTCTTTGGCCAGGCTTCTGGCGAGTCACCCAGTCCACTGAGTGTCCGCTCACAGACTTGTACATCTGTCTATCCGATTTCATCTCCATTTCCATTCCCATTACCTGTGCAACGTTTCATCACACCTGCCAGGCAACAGATGTCTGTTGTTCCTACTATGTGTAAGATACTATCTCGCCCTCAAGGAGTTTGAAACCCAAAGGAAAGAAGAGACATACCCACAAACATTCAGAGAGTGAGAAAGACAAATGTCCAAAGTGCTGTGTCATTCCATAAATACTTATGAAGTAGCTCACGTGTCAGTTCCTTTTCTAGGCACTGGGATAAAAAGAAGAATAAGATGTGCTTTCTGTGCTTGAGGGGCCTTACAACTGAGGAGGGAGGGAAGGATCAGAGGATAACCTCTGTGAGGGTAGGCATTTTTGTCTGCTTTGGCTCACTGCTGACTCCCCAGCCTCCCAAAGAGTGCTGGGCCCATAGCAGATCCTTCGTAAGTATCTGTTGGAAGAATGAATGGGGGAGCAAATCAGTAACAGCCCTTCTGGCTTCCCTTGGCCTTTTTTAAAGGTCCCTGGCCTAGAATACAATCATGAATTGAGGCTGGACTGGACATTACTTTACAAGACAGATACATGTACTCAGAATTTTCCCTTCCCTCCCACACTGATCGGCTGTTCTTGACCCCAACATATGACCCTCGCTTCTTTTTTCTCTTGGGAGGAGTTATTTCCTGGGGAAGCTCCTTAAATCCTCATGATAACAGTTTCTCTGTGGGCCCACCCCATCAATCCTCCCAAGTAAATGTCCACTGAACCCAGCTGGCTACAGTCCTGAAGTGCCACTCCTCGTCCATGCCCCCAACACCTTCAGGTCACCTGAGCTCTCACCACCTTGAATAAACCTCATTAGTAGTTTGATGGTATCTCATTGATGCATCTCATTATAATATTCTTACATCTACGTATAATTTTAAGTAAAAGGGATCATAACATACATGCTATTTTTATCGTGGATACTTTTTCTTTCTCCTTTTCCCTTTTCTCCCTTCAGAGCAGCATCTTACCCACCATTTTCTCCCCAAGTAAGTCGTGTTAAAAACCTTGTGTGTCTCGCCATATCTTTCTCTTACTCAGACAATTCTATACAGATTTACATACATTTACACATATACATGGCTTCGTCACAATTTTGCAAAAATGAAACCACATCTACTTTCTGCATCTTGTTTTTCCCACTCAGGAGCACATGGTGAAAATCCCAGCAAGTCGGTGAAAATTTCTAATTCATTCTTCTGAAAGGCCACATTGTATCCATCGTATGACTGTATCACAAGTTCGTTCATCATTCTCCTCTGATGGACGTCCACTTTGTTTCTAGCTCTTAGCCGCTACGGATGATGCTATAATAAACATCTTTCCGTGTATTTTTCAGAGAAGTTTCATTTATTTAACAAAAATGTACATAGCATTTATTATGTGACCTACACCATTTTAAGCACTTCATAAATACCAACTCATTTATTAATGCTACATTGCCTTCCCAAAAGGCTGTAACACTTCATGTTTCCACCAAGAGGAAACACTTCCCATATTCCAATAACAAGTAACAATATGACTCCTCTTAATTTTGCGAAGCTGACGGGTGTCAGATAATATCTTATTGTTGCTTTGACTTGCACGTCCCTGCACTAGCGAATTTAAGCATCTTTTCATGTCTGTGGGTCTTTGGGTTTGCTCTTCTGCATATTGCCAGTTCATATCAGTTGCAAGTTTTCTGTTGCATTGTTGATCATTTTTCTTATCGATTTGTAAGAGCTCTTTATATATTAAAACAATCAACTCCTTTTCTAGCGTATGCATTATTAATATTTTCGTATCCATTGTTGGTCTTATAGACTTTGTTTATCATAGGTTTTGCTTTAAATTAAAAATTTTTTCATATGATCAAATATGGCTATCTTTATAGACTTTAGGTTTCTATTCTTCATGTAATTGCCTAGATGTCTTGCCTAGCTTTTAAAGAATTATATCTAAGCCTTTAATTCATCTGCAGTTTATGTTCATGGATGGTGTAAAATGGAGTCCGTTTTGATTTTCTTCCAGAAAGAAGTCGGTTGTTTATTAAATGGTCCACCTCTTTCCCCCTGAATTAAACTACCACATTTTTCCTACATGAACGTCTCATTGGGATCTAACTCTATGTCCACATTGTATTGATTTCATTACTGTGGCTTTAGGGTCTGATTATCTGGTAAGGCAAATCTCCCTTGCTGTTTTCCTTTTTCATAGTTTTCTTAACTAATATTGAGCATTTATTTTTTCTGATGAATTGTATGACCACTTTGTCCAATTCCAAGGAAAAAAACCTTATTTTCATTCTAATGGAAACAGCATGAAATGAATTTTAGGAGAATTGACTTTTTCACTAAATAAGATTTCCCATCAAAAACGTGGAAGACCTCACCATCTATTCAGATCTTTTTTGTCTTTTCTTTCTTTTTTTTTTTTTGAGGAAGATTAGCCCTGAGCTAACTGCTGCCACCAATCCTCCTCTTTTTGCTGAGGAAGACTGGCCCTGAGCTCACATCCATGCCCATCTTACTCCACTTTCTATGTGGGACGCCAGCCACAGCATGGCTTGCCCAGTG